GTACTTTCCAAATCTACCTGACACCCCATTTGCACTTGCCAGAAGCCCATTCACAGTCAAAGTTGAAGATGTTCCTGAGACAGCACAAGAGGAGTTCATTGAACTTATTAACAACGATGCAGCAAGAACTGATTTCTCTACAATGCCAGTTACAAAATTCTGGATCAAGTGTTTGCAGTCATATCCTGTTCTGTCTGAGACTGTGTTGCGCCTCCTTCTTCCATTTCCAACAACATATCTTTGTGAAACAGGATTTTCCAGCTTGTTGGTTATCAAGTCTAAATACAGAAGTAGACTTGTGGAAGATGTTCTTCGTTGTGCTCTTGCAAAGACTGCCCCGAGAATTTCTGATCTGGTGAGAAAGGAGCAATCTCAACCTTCGCACTGACGTTGGCTTTTTACGCATACTGTCGCAAAATGTGGTAATGTAGTTTACTGTTGTTATGTTAAGACTGTTACCTGTGCTACACCGTGCTTCAAGACAAAATTTCATTTACTTGTAATTAGAAATAAATATTTCACAATATATAATTACATACTGTTTTTATGATTAATCACTATGCTTTAATTATGTTTAATTTGTAACAATGAAAATGCACCCTGCATATCAGATATTTACATTACGATTCATAACTAGCAAAATTATGGTTATGAAGTAGTAACGAAAATAATTTTATGGTGGGGGGTCACCACAACATGAGGAACTGTATTAAAGGGTCGCGGCATTAGGCAGGTTGAGAACCACTGCTCTAGGGGTTGAAGGGTCATTGCTCTAGGTAAGAACAGAAGAGGCTCCCTCATTCATAGATTGTGTGAGTTATGCTAAGGTCAAGGCAAAGGCTGAGCAGTTAGCTGAGCCAGGCCTGCTTCTCAATTGGTTGAATCTTCACAGTAATACTATTGGGTAAGGGGAGGTTTATAAAGGAGGGGCTGGGGGCACTGCAGAGAGACATTCTGTGTTGGGCTGTGCTTGGGGCCCCTATGATGTCCAGCACTGGGCTTTGACCTCTCATGAGGACACTGTGCCCCCTGGGACCTTTGACACCCAGGGGTCTGAGGGGCCCCAGCTCCAGGGAGGTCTTGCAGGCTATAACTGTTTCCCACACCTGGTGCCCCTGTGTCCCTGCCTGCAGCTCCTTTAGTAGCACCCCTTGGGCTTCCTGCTGTTTCCCTCCAGAGCAGTTGTGACCATGGCCGAGAGCATGATGGGGCTGGCGCACCACTACTACACATACACTGAGTTCCTGGCCATTGCACAGCACTTCAAGCAGAAACCCAACGAGCACATGATCGCCTGGATCCTGTGGGTGTAATGACTAAGGCGGCTTGGCCCTGGCCCTGAATTCCCAGGAGCTGGCACTGCTGGGTGACCTGAACAGCAACACCATCTTCAACTGCCTCTACAAGGGTCTGCAGGGCAGCCGCAAGGCACTACTCACCTGGCCACTGCAGGCCTGGCTCCAGCGCTGGCAATCCTTACTGCACTTCGAGGTCACCAAGATGCGCGCCAGCTGAGCATGCTGGAGTGGATCTACCGTGAGGCTGCATCTGAGCAGGCACCATGGCCTACACCTGAGGACATGCCCTTCACACAGGGCCTGCGTGGGCGTCTGCTGATGCTGGCCAGGTCCTCCAAGATGCAGCTGTCGCTGGTCAGCCTGCCAGTCAAGGGCATGACAGTGCTGGAGGTGATGATGGAGGTCCACCTGAGCTGGCTCCTGAGCCATGATGTGTCCAAGGAGAGGGTGGACAAGCAGTCCACCAAGGTCCTCCTGGACCTGTACGTCAAGGAAGCCACACGTAGCCGCAGCCTCCCAGCCTACATGCTGGAGGAGGAGCAGCCCCCGCCTCCCTGCTACTCCATCAGGGCCTGTGGGTAGGAGCCCATGGCTCCTTACCTGCCTCTGGGCCCTATCTAGGAGCCCTAGTTTCCAGTTCAGGGAGATGCAGAGTCCCCTGAGGGACCGCCCACCTGTTTTGTTTTTTTAAGATGTAAGAGTTGAGTATTTTTTAATACATATATTGATGGAGATAGAAACATCGATGATGAGAATCATTGATTGGTTGCCTCCTGCATGCCCCCTACTGGGGATCCAGCCTGCAAGCCGGGCATGTGCCCTTGATCAGAATCGAACCAGGGACCCTTCGGTCCGCAGGCTCTATTCACTGAGCCAAACTGGCTAAGGCTGATCTTGAGTTTTTTATGGGCAGGCTACCCTCACCAAGTTTTGAGGAGCCCAGAAGAATAAGGTGTCCTTGCCCCAAGTAGCTACCTCATGGGTGTCATTGGCTGGCCACATTGGTTCTGTAGAGAACCCAGCAGGCCTCTTACATTTCAGCTGAAATAGCATGTTGGGTGGGTACCCCTCAGGCCCCCAAAGCACTACAGGCCCAGCAGGGAGACCCCATGGCCTACATGAAGTTTGCCCTGTTTTTGTTACTTGTTAATGCATTGTTTTCACTTAATACTTGAAGCATATACAGCACTTTGGTTTTAAGCACACTCTTCTCTGTTGTCTTGGTTTTTCTCTTAAGACTATTTTGTTTGTAACGTCTTTCCCTTCTGAAGCCAGCCTGCTGTTTGCTCACCTGGGGAAGGGACTGCCAGGCCAGTCCCAGTGCTTCTAGCTGCATGTGTGGTTTCTGGCCAGTGTCTGGGTTAAGTGTTGGGACCAGGAATCCCACTGGGGGTAGGGAGTGAGCATCGCTGCATATGAACTGTGATGCTTGATGCAGCCCCCCTGCAAAGCCATTTCCAGAACCCTCTTGGGGCAGGGTTCTGGACATGCCTGTCTCCATGGGCCCTACTGAGAGAGCTATGCTCCGTCAAGCCCTGGGAGCTGCCCCCGGCAGCAGGGCAGGGAAACCTAAGGACTCGGACCTTCCCTGGGTGAGAAGTAAGGAGCTGTGTCCCTCCCAGGACCGAGTACAGAGGGCATCTGGGTGTGGCTGCCTCGCTTCTAAGGCCTGTTCTAAGACGATGGGCGTGATGGGGTGACAAGGCTACCTTCAGAGCCCAGGGCATGGTCCCCTGCCCACAGTGCTGGGAATTGGGTAGACCCGGCTTTCTCCTCTCAGTCTAGCGGGCTATGCACCCTGTTTTCCCCCATTGGAGGGTCCTGGTAGCTGGGATTGACTTCTAGCCACAACCTCTCCCCCAACCCCACCTCTAATTCTCCAACTCTACCATTTGTAGTGGGCACTGAGTGAGTGGCTGCCTGCTACACACCAACACCCCCGCCCCCAGTGTTCTGATCTGGGGTGTTCACACACTTGAGTCTGATGCCTGGCTGGTGGGTAGGGCAGTGGCTGCAGGAGCATAAGTGCTGTCTGGGTCCTAGACCCACTGGGCCCACCACACCAGCCACGTGTGGCCGTGAGCCATTGAGATGTGGCTGGGACCTGAATCTTACATTTTATTCAAATGGCCGGATGGCAGTCCTGAGAACGGTCCGGCCACACCTGCTCTGCTGGTCCTGGGAGGTTAATTTCAGAGGTGCTACCGTCTGAGTCTTGACTCGCCCTGAGATGGGAGCACAGAGGCCAGTGGTTTCCCGAGTCACACAGCCTCAGGCTTGGTACTGAGCAGCCTTGGGGCTGGGCTTAGCTCTCCAGATACCAAGACAGGCCTGACCCCACCCCAGGAGCTTAGAGGGCTGGAGGGGCCACTTGTCCCCTGGGTATCGAGTCTAAGAAAGCTCAGCCTTGTTTCTCACACCACATGTGCCGTACCTACTAATACCATCCCGACATAACCACCACATGCCATCATGCATATAGAGAAATGCATCAGTACGCCCCTAGAGGCACCTACACACACCAATACAGATTGCACGTGTGCATAGGAGCCTGTCAAACATGCAGATATGTGCCATCACATGCAAAATGTTCAAATATCTACACATGAACTACATGTGTGCACAAGCCATGTACGCATGTGCACACAACCACTTGTGACTTCCAGGCCTGGGAGCCCTGTGTGTCCGTTTCTCCCCCACCTCCCTCCCCACGCACAGGCGCACACAGTAAGTCACGGAAGCTGGTACAGCAGGTGAGCACACATGTTGGGGTCCAGGGTCAGCAGTGGGGAAGGGGTGCCCAGTTTCTCGGCTCACACAGGATCTCCCCAGGCCCGCAGGCAGCCGGGTCTCCAGGCCAGCAAGCCCAGCCCTATGCAGAGCGCCGCCAGCATGGCCACAGCCCCAGACAACAGGGGCACGACGGTGGCTGCAGGGAGAACATGAGGGGTGAGTCTCAGGACTTGAACCCTCCTAGTCCCACCCTAACACCAAGGGCCTCACCCGTGGGAGTGGTAGGCTCATGGGTGCCATGGCAGGGGACCCCGTGAGCTGGAGGCCGGGCCGGGGCGGTCAGCTGGCGGAAGCGGCCTAGTGGGCAGGGGGCTGGGCATCCAGGGAGGCTGAGGCTCAGGGGCAGGCCGGTGGAGTCGTTGCGGTAGAAGAGGGAGATGGTGACGTTCCTGCAGAGAGAGAAGGCGTGGCAAAGGCTCCTCACCTCCCCTGCACTGACCTCAAATCTAGACAAGCATCTGAATGGAGGAGCTGGGCTCCTGGCCACCCGTCAACCTCCTGATGGCCTCCCTGGCCAACTCCCCCTCCAGGCCGCTGCCTGGGCGGCCCTCTGCCTGCCACCATCCCTCCTCTTGAGAGCTCTGCCCGCCCGTTCCCAGGCGCCACCCCTCCTCACCCTGCATCTTCATCGTCATTGTCATCGAGGTCCCCCAGGCTCCGGAACTCGAAGCCCAGGCAGGCAGCGTAGGGCGGGGTGTGTCCGTCGTAGAGGCCCAGGGCCCCCTGGAGGGCCAGCAGGGTGCTGTCGTGCTGCCGGCAGATCAGGGTTGAACTGTCTCCTCTCTCCTCCCCTGACAACCTCTTTCCCTGTGTTCTAGGCTCCTGCGTCCAGCTGCCTCCCAGATGTCCCCAGGCCCCTTAGGAATCCAGCCCCTAAAGCTGCTCACCCTGAAGGCAGTCCCACCGGGTACAGGGAATCATTTAATAAAGATTAGTCAAATGTCCCTGCTGGTGTGGTTCAGTGGTTGAGTGTCAACCTGTGAATCATGCAGTCGAGGTTCAATTCCCAGTCAGGGCACATGCCCAGGTTGTGGGCTTGATCCCCAGTGTGGGGCGTGCAGGAGGCAGCCGATCAATGATTCTCTCTCATCATTGATGTTTCTATCCCTCCCTCTTACTTTCTCTCTGAAATCAATAAAAAAATATTTTTTTAAAAAAACATTGGTCATGGCCCTAACCGGTTTGGCTCAGTGGATAGAGCGTCGGCCTGTGGACTCAAGGGTCCCAGGTTCGATTCCGGTCAAGGGCATGTACCTTGGTTGCAGGCACATCCCCAGTTAGGGGGTGTGCAGGAGGCAGCTGATCGATGTTTCTCTCTCATCAATGTTTCTGACTCTCTATCCCTCTCCCTTCCTCTCTGTAAAAAATCAATAAAATATATTTTAAAAAAACAAAACAAAGATTGGTCATGGACACAAAACATGATTGGGCAGCTCAATTCAACAGCCTGTCCTCCTAGAGGAGCTGAATGCTTTCTCAGAACACCATCTCCTCCCTCCTTCCAGACACTATACCTCTAGTGATATGTCTGCAGCTATAGTTACCCACTGGCTCTTCCTCACCCCAACGGCCACCCCCCTCATCCCTGTGCCCTCGCCGCCTCCCTTGCCAAAGACTCACAGCCGAGTACATCACCATCTTGAGGGGCAGCCCCAGGCGCTGGACCCGAGAGAAGTTAGCAAGGATGGCGTCCAGCAGGATCCCTGAGGGGGCAAGACCAGGGTGCTGAGAACCCCCAGAGGGAGGTGCCCAGCCTCCCACTGTCCCCCCCCCCACCCCAAACCTCACCCCCTGCCAGCTGGGCCTTCTCTGCTGCCCGGGGT